TATAAAACATAATATATGTGTGTGCGTGTATGTGTGTATGTGAGTGTGTGCTCATGTGTGTGTGTATGCTCAGTCGCCTCACCTTGTTTTCCTTTGCTTTGCTTTTACTATCTGACTGTGGCTCCTTTTGTTTTTGCTTGAGTTGAGAGAACATCTCTTTCTTTGCTTCAGTCATCTCTCCTTTACTGGCTACTTCCTCCTCAAAATTTTCAAGCATTCCGTCATCAGATTCTCTGTAGCAAACTGGGAAATTTCAAGACCAAATTATATGCTTACATTTTTGTTTGTTTGATAAAGTGGAAATCTTTGATCTCTTTGATCTGATACAAACACATTTCGTAATCTCACGTTTAAAAAAAGTTTAATTAGAGGAACTCGTCCATATACCCCTGCAGAGAAACTGACCATACAGCTGAGCACGTTATATAGACCAGCAATAAAGGTCAAATAATGAGAGAACATGTTTGGAAATGCTCAGGAGACCGCTAAATTTGTTATTGTAGTTGGCCTTGCAAATGCATACACAGGTAGAAAATGTGTAAGAACAATGTACAATCTCAGGATCATCAAATGGGGCCTCCGTCTACTTTGTGCCTAGCAGCAACTGCGTCCTATGTCGCGTGCTCAGTCTAGAAATGTTTGGGCTCGTGACCTTTGACCCACAGCATGTTGTCGATAATACCGTAACTATTGCTGTATTTCACCCTCATCGGCTCAACTTAGATCATCTAGAAAGTGGGCTGCTTATATCACTGTGGAATCAGGCTCGTGTCAATTTTTGGGTATGTAGAATTATTGGTATCAACTGAAAGATTATTCATATGCCTTGCGTTCGAAGGAAAAAAATACCCATCTATTTTGAATAGAAGTCGAGATATTTGCGATTGAAGGAGGTCGGGTCGGTTGGTTTCAGAGGTAAAATTAGCGAGAAAATGGTCGCCAAAAACTGGTGACTTCCATAGCTTGAGAGTTCATTGAAAGTGAAATTTTACAATTTTGTTTGCTTTTAATCGAAGATTTTCAGTAAAATCTAAAAGTGTTTTTGAATGGATATGAAAGACATTGAGCCGAAAAACAAAAAATTGATAAAAATTGCCAAACTGGAGGGAAAATATCGGTTTCTTCAATTTCACTATTTTGACGAGTGCTTGATTTCACCATGATGCCTCACAATATACTTTTTTTTAAAATTCAGGTATTATTACTAAAACCTCCCTATGCAGGAATCGCCAGGTCATTTGCGAGCGACGGCGAAGCACCATGCCTCTAAACCACAAATGCCGGTCATATTCTTATAAAGGCTAAGAGACTTAGAAATACATGATGTTTTTCCCTGCACGAGTTACTTGCACCAGCAGAAGAACAGCTTTAAGAATGCAAATGGATAGGCATGGTGCATGCTGATGATGTCTAAGTGGCTGTTGGGTACAGATTTAAATGTGGAAGATAGATAAAGAAGTGGCAAATTGACTCCCTGAATATGCGATCACCAAAAGTGGCAAAAGCAAAAAGCAATGTGTTTCTGTTATGATATTAAGCTTATTTAGACATAATTTTTTTTACAGACCTACTGTTATGTACAAAAGATCGTTTCGTTATGGAACAGAATTGGATCTAAAAGTACAGCTGTAGTGGTGCAGTATGTTATACACTTGATAATTCGTGTGCTAGTTCGAGGTTCGAATTCCAAGTGTTGTGACCATTTGTTTTGTTTAATTTTTTTTCCTTTTTTGTCTTTGGTTTAGGTTTGGGCTTTTTTGGGGGGTGGGTTGATTTCAATTCCCATCATGTTCCCTCTTTTCGTAGTGTTATTAAAGGTGACAAACTACTCACTACAGATTGCTATAAATGATTGTGAATGCTTCATGCACTTATCGACACAATTTAGGTCATTTATGAACGTTGTTGTCTTGACCCTACCTGTGATTTAGCCTAGGATGATAGGGATACAATATCAAACCTGAAATACTCCATGGAAATTCTCCCCACACGAGAATCGAACTCAAGTCTTCTGCGATTAATGGCAAAGTGCATAACCACTACACCACAAAAGTGGTACTATATGGTACCTTCCGAATGTCTAGTAGTGTGTCATATTCAAAGATCGCAAAATGTACTTTTATAATGGATCAGTTCTCTTACCTGCAAGAAACATATCTGTGATGACATCTATGTGTGTGAGATTGACATAACATCCATGTGATACATCGGCAAGTTCTTTGTAGAAGTTAACAGCGTCGTTATTTCTACCTGCCTGAACACCATACACCTGCAATGAATATACCAACAAAACAAACACATTCAAGACTTTCGAACCTCCACTGACAGACAAACATCTTATCGATAAGTTTATACTGTTTCAGTGTTTGTTAGAGGGATTTTGCATTACTTTTCCAATCCAGCGGCCATCTGGGTTCTAGCCCTTCGGCCTGTCGGGAGAGGGACGGAAAATATGCTTAACTGTTTGAAAACTCACTTCACAACCTACTCACTCATGCGCATCTGAAGTTTACAAAAACTGTCGTAAGGATGATCCCTATTCACACAGTTTGGATCATTTAGGCGGTTGGCTGTTGCAAGCCTGGCTGTCTATGCCAATATATTAAGGGGGCCTACACTCATCTCAGCAGGAACTTGATAGTGAATAACTCAACACCATCAGAGCTTCGGTGATAACGGAGCGTTAACCCACCAGTAGTTAAAGATAATCAGTAAGTTTCATCCTGAGGAAAGCTTTTGGCAGACATGAAACCTTAGGCTCTTTACTTAGCGTACAGAAGACACGAAGTCAAACCCCCTGAGTCGAAGTATATCTCAGACAATGACTGACATCTCTCTAAAGGTGTAGAATGAGTGAAATAGGTTTCCCTATCAACAGCCTACATTTCTTTAGAAAATGCTTTATTATTCCTCCTATTATACGGGTGCGAAGCATGGACAATCAATAAACAGCTGGAAAGAACAATTGTTGCAGCAGAGTTGTGGTTCATGAGACGCATGCTACGTATCCCATGGACAGCTAGAAAAACAAATGAAGAAGTCCTGGTTGAAGCAAATTATAGAAAACGACTTATCACGAATATAAGAAAACGACAGGCAAATTTTTTCGGACACACAATGCGGAAAGAAGCATTAGAGAACATTGTAACAACAGGAAAGTTTGATGGAAAGAGAGGTAGAGGCAGACAGAGGGAAAAGATACTGGACAAGATGACAACATGGCTGGGAGCAGCAAGAACAACAGACACCATTGCTGCTTCGAAAGACAGATGGAAGTGGAGGTCCATGATCGCCCACGCCAGTCGGCAAGGCACCGGATGATGATTATTATTCCCCCCTCACAGCAAAGTATGAAAAGCCTCGTAGTACAAACCTTGACCCCCATACCGGAGAGCAGGTCGAGCTCTTCTCGCCAACTGATGTTCTGGTCTGTGTAGGAAGGAGGGTGTGGGAACAGGTCCCCGATGACCACCAGAGCTTTGGCCGAATCCTCTGCCCAGTCCAGCTGTTGAGCTTTGCGGAGAACCCATTCATAACACTGAAAAGAAGAAAGGTGAGAACGTTTTAGTAACATTTAAAATGGCTGTTTATAGCATGCATTATAATGAAATTATATCTTGAGGGCAAGGGGGGCGAAGAGATCCCAGCCAAGAGTAAAATGGCGGAGAGAGGTAGAAAAACAGACAAACAGAGGGGTATACAGAGAGACAGAGATAGAGATAGAGATAGAGAGAGAGAGAGAGAGAGAGAGAGAGAGAGAGAGACTGAGAGAGACTGAGAGAGACTGAGAGATGTACAGAGGGAAAAAGAGAGAGAAGCAGAGAGAGAAAGCGAGAGACATACAGTGAAAGACATACACACACATACACACACACACACACACACACACACACAAACACACACACACACGCACGCATACATACATACACATACATACATACCCAGAGAGGGAGAGAGAGAAAGAGAGAGAAAGAGAGAGACAGAGACAGAAAGAGAGAAAGAGATAAGGAGAGAGAAAGGTAGAGAGAGAGAGACACACAGAGAGAGAGACAGAGAGAGAAAGAGAGAGAGAGAGAGAGGGGGGGGAGACTGACATTCCCCTGAAATCTCACGCTCACTCCATTCTTTCCAATTTTCCCGAGGGACCAACATAACTAATTTATGATTTTACCTTGTAACAACTTGAGATAGAGTGATAAATAAACCTACCGGTTTTTTAATTTATATATGCTTCTTCGTATGACATGGGAGGGCTATGATACAGGTGGCATAGGTTCACATCCCAACTGGGATGTATTTGATAGTGAGCTAAACACATGACATACAGTGTTACGCAGTTCCAAAACAGCATAAGAATTGTAACAAAATTATAATCCTTTTGGTCTCAAGGTCCATGATGAATTATTAATTTTTGTTATTGTTATTATTGTTGCTAGAGGGCGACCGAGAAAGACCTGGATAGATGGGGTCAGGGAAACAGTAACAACTCATGGCATCCCAC